ACAAAAGCTAAAAAGACAAAATTACCTTGTATTGTTTTACGAATAGAGCAGAGACTACGTAGACATTTACTTCTAAGTATGATACAGTTTGTTCGGTACTTTTGTTGTTTAAATTGGGGGTATTTGGGTGATTTTTGTTTGTATTTTTTTAAATTTTTTCTTTTTTTTTTTTAATTTAACATTTCGAATTTGTATTTTTATTTTAACGAGTATGATACAAAAAGTTAACAATCACCATCATCATCATGTTAACATGTATAAAATTCACCATCATTTTATATGGTTAGTTAGATTGGCAGACTGGTCGATGTTGTTATTGCTTTTGCAAAATTGTTTTTTTTAATTTAGTTGTTGTACAAAGTTTGTTGTGGGAGGCCGCTTTAAAGGAAAAAAAGTTGCAATAAAAGAAAATTATCATAAAAATAATAAAAAAAAAACTAATAAATTTGCAACATGTATTCAGCGTATTTTAGAAAACGGTAAATAAATTTATTGGTAATTGTTTACTTTAATGTTGAAAGGTGTTAATAAAGTGTAATGGGTAAAAATGGAATGGGTTTTCAAAAAATGTTCTCTTGTAATATAATCATCACAGTTCATAAGGAAAGTTAAAATATAATGTATAATCTTCAAAGTATGAAACGTCTGACAATTTGACCATTTTCAAAATGTTGCTAAAAACATGCAGAAATCGAAGCATAACACCCTCCGTTCTGGCGACATGGATTGTTATCTGAATGTCAAATTAATATTTGTGGCTTCAACACATGTTCCATAAGGTACAGATATCACTCCAGTCATTTTTAACATTCTGTAATTTGACGTCCTTCAGTTCATGATTTCACTGACATTATCGGAAAATATCTGTGAACTAACATGACATCAAGGATGCTGAAACTCCATAGGTCTGCAAAAATTCCGATTGCAAAACAAGTAAGAATGTATAGTCGGGCATGGCCGACCATATTATATCCTACACCAGAGAGTATGTTAAAATTTAAGAATTTCATCGTTATACTAGAGTTTTTAAGTGAATTATTGACTTTCAAGTAATTTTCCGAAAGGGACTTTTAAGGTGGCATGGTGTAGAAACAATATGTTACAACAACAGCACAAACGCATAATATCCTCCCCATATAGCGGCATATGGTATAAATAAACCGAATGTACTGAACTCGATCCGTACATCGGTTTTGAGACTAAAACTGGATTAACATTATTCTGGAAAACAAATCTATGCTTTAAAGCCAATATAGTTTCTTTAGGAGATAATTCAAAATGACACGAATCAAAACCCAAATTTCGGAAGAGCGTTCGAATATGAATTCTCGCAATTGCAGTTATCAGACAGTCAAGATTAAGGTCACGTTTAGGAATTTTTGAGACATTACACAATTGGAGATGCATAACTAAATAACTTTTCTGTATTCGTATATTCTGCGACAGGATATCCTCGGTAGAGATCTGGTATTCATTGAGAGATGAAAAATGAAAATATCAAACCAGTTTTATCGCCTATATAGTAGGAGTTTTAAGAAACTATCGAAGATAAATGTGTGAATCTATTGTGGATTTAATATCAAACCAGTTTTATCGCCTATATAGTCTGAGTTTTAAGAAAGTATCGAAGATAGATGTGTTAATCTATTGTGGATTTTCTGACTTCTGAAATTAATCAGAAGGGATCCGGAATGTATCCTCTTCGTATCATCGGCATCGACAATGGTGTGGTAACTATTAATAATGTACGAGGCAAGACGAACATATTCCAGCAAAAAATCAATGGCTGTCGAATGTCTGTCGTGGATTTGATAATATTTATCTCATTACGGAATTTTTTATTCCGTAACCAATATCCAAAAGTCGTGATAACAATTTGAAATTGAATTCGATGTTCTCCCCGGGGCAGATTACTTTTTTGAACCTTCTTCACCTTAGTGTTAATGTAATGCCGGGGTATAGAGGTGCCTACCTTCAGTCCACTGGGACTTTTAATAACAGATGATAATTAATATAATTTATATAATAATAATTTGACTTACGGTCTGATCAGAGAATTTATCTGGTGCCACATGAATCGCAGGGCACTACTTTTATCATTGTCTTGTTACTGTTATTGGATAGGTCCCTTAGGGTTGCTTAAAACCCAAATAGCGTGAGAGAATGTTGGATTTTGGGACTGATGCACGGTGAAAGTAATATTTTGGGATATGTTCGGTGCTGTTGCCAAGACAAGAAGTTGCCTTAGAGGAGTTAGTGTTGGCAATGAGTTGATATCACAGTAATGAGTCGACCTCAATCTTTCCGCATACCCTAGTGCATGAGTTAGATGTTTGACCTGGTCCACACTAGGAAACTTTTGTTGATAAACTTTATCTTAATTCTCTTTTGAAGTTTCCTTAATGTCCACACATAGAAACTTTTGTTTCAGAAACTATGTATTAATTGCATTGATTTGTTGTTGTACGAATGAGAAGAATAACAAAACAAAACAAGTTTCCGAGTACGAGAAACTCCGTACCGCGAGAAAGATGAATGATATTCTTTCTCTCTCACGCAAAATCAAAAGTTTCCCAAAAAATGTTTCCTAGTGTGGACCGGCAGTTTGTGGAATTGTGTGATGGATGGTATGGTATTCATGCGTTCGATGAAGTTCCCTTATTTGTTAGACCTGGTCCACACGAGGAAACTTTTGTTGATAAACTTTTTCTTAATTCTCTTTTGAAGTTTCCTTAATGTCCACACATAGAAACTTTTGTTTCAGAAACTACGTATTAATTGCATTGATTTGTTGTTGTACGAATGAGAAGAATAACAAAACAAAACAAGTTTCCGAGTACGAGAAACTCCGTACCGCGAGAGAGATGAATGATATTCTTTCTCTTTCTCACGCAAAATCAAAAGTTTCCCAAAAAAAGTTTCCTAGTGTGGACCGGCAGTTATGGTATGAGTTTTAATATTGAAACTGTTTATGCCAAATGTACCGCTGAGTGTTCCCTATGTTTAAGCAATGTCGTGGCTTAATATAAGCTGTTGTCGAGTCAATAGAGTCAGGACATTCCATTAGTGGGGTTGTGGATTGTCTCCGAAGAAAGCTTCAATTATAGTCTGAAGATCACCCGACATTAAGCAACCGGATTGCAATGGTATTAAAAAGCTTCAACCGAGTTTTCTTTTTGGGAAATAAGTTGCAGTGGTGGATCATCTGTAGCTCAACAGTAGTTAAAAAAGATCACCGTGAGCTTAGGTCTTGGCAGGCGCTAATGTAAAACACTTTCGTCATTAGTAGTATTCGTCGTTTTGTAATTATCTTTTTGCTTCTTTGGATGATCTATTTCTGGGTCTTTTTTTATCACAATTTTTCCCATTCAATATGTATTGGTTTTTCATTTTGTTTCAATTCCATTTCATACCACTTTCTGTTAAATACAAATATTTTCTTTTGTGTAATTTTCCAAGCAAAACACACATGCTTACAACAACAAAATTAAAGCGTTTATAAATATACTCTAGATAAATTGGTCAAAACAAAGAAATAGAAATATAAACATAAAGGAAATAAAGAAAAACCAAAATAAAAACAATGATCATGCAAATGAATACAATTCAAAATTACTTTTATTCCCAAAAAAAAAAAAAAATAATAATAATGAAAATTGTGTTAATTCGAGAGTATTTTACACTACCAAGAGTTTGAATAATTGGCAGCCAAAAAAAAAAAAAATAGCGCGCGCAGCTTTTTTTTTACTCTATTTCTCTCTCTCTTAACCACTACTGACTGGCTGATGAACTTTTGGTGAGAGTATTGTTTTTTTTTTTTGTATGTGTGTTTTTTTTTTTAGTTTTGAATGAAAACCATTTCGAAATATCCACTATAAGTTTTTTATATTTTAAAATTTGTTTCTTAAATTGTCGGTTGGTAAACATAAATACAAATTTTGCATTTTCAGTTGGTAACGGTCGTCATTTGAATTTTCACGCTTTTTTTCGGAGTGTGTGCGTTTGTATTTCTCGTTTAAAATCGCGTCATTTTTAATATTAGTGACGGTATAAAAGATCGTTTATTTGATAAAATAAAATAGTTATAAAATAATTAATATTTTTTTGTTGTTTTCTTATTGGTGTTGGGTTGAAATCTTTATTAGTGCTTTTGTTTTGTTTTGATAAATTTATATAAGAAATTTATAAAAAAAAAAAAAACAGTTGATAAAATAACGTACATATTTTTATGTCTACAAATATTAAATTATCAATTTCTTTTATTATTTATTAATATTTTTACGCTTTTAGAACGAAACTAATAAAATTTAAAAACGAATAAACGGACGGACGGAAAGTTTTGATCTAAACAAGTGCGGTTTACTACGTTACCACGAATGTTTTTTTTTAAATAATTTATTTACTCACTATATGTTTAACGATTTGTTGGCATATTTAGTCTATAAAAATAATCAATTTTATTTAAAACATAAAATATTAAAAAATCTTTAAAAATTAAACAAAAATTTTCTTATGGCTTTTTAAAGTTTGTTTCAAATCAATACAACAACAACAAAATCATATCTAAAAATATATTTTATCTCGAGCCAAATAAATTTAAATTGTATATAAAAATATAGTAAAAACCCCATTCTACAAAAAAATATATCTAAAAAAATATTGTGCAAAAAAGAAATTCTTAAAAGAGTATAAATATAATAATATTTTCCAGAGAGAATTGAAAATGTGTCAATGTATTTCAGAAAAAAAAAATAAATAAAAAAAGTTTTGGCAAGTGTTGAAAAAAAAAAACACAGAAAAGAAAATAAATAATAAAAACAAAATTAAGTGAAAATAAATAAAATTTTATGTGACCTCCCTCCTTTTCTTTGAATTCTCTATATGAGCCAACAATATATATATAAAACCGTTTAAATAAAGTTATTAAACCCATTAAAAAAAAAAAAACGTAGAAAAAAGTAGAAAAAAACCCACTTTACAAATTATTACTCTTTTTGTAGCTTTAAAAACAACGTGTCTTCTAACAACGACACTTTACCTACTGGTTCTGCTTTTAAACCGGCTCAATCGTTAGAAGGTCTTGGTTTTGCTCATTTATCCTCACACGGCAATCAATCGCCCAACGCCCCGCCCTCAGCATTTACCCTAACGCGTTCATTTACCCAACCGCTCTCTAGTTCGATAAATTCACCACCTCAATCGTCGTCATCGTTTAAGGCCGGTATACCAGTTCCTTTACCGCGTAAATCGCCAGCACGTTCTAGTCTGCTCTGTTCGCAAGACACCGCCAATTTAACACTATCGTTTACGGGCGATTCGGGCTTATCGTGTAATAGTAATAGTGAACGTATCTTTGAAATGTCTAGTCTAGAACAAGATGTAGATATGGCTGAAAATCAAGAGCCAAAAACCCCCTTAAATAAAGACTCTTCGGAGTCGTCGGCCTCGTCGGGTGGTGTAGTGCGTACGAATAGTGTGAGAGCTAGGGCGAATATGTTCCAGCAAATGCAAGAGAAGACGAATAATGGCGCGGCCTTGAATCGGGAGGAACGTACATCACCGAAAAGAGGTAAGTGGAAGAAAAGTTATAATAATAGTATGTTTAAGTTTTTCTGTGTAAACTTCATAAAGAACTGAATTAGAACTAAACTAGAACTGAATTAGAATTAAACTAAAACTGAACTAGAACTGAACTAAACTAGAACTGAACTAGAACTGAACTAAACTAGAACTGAACTAAACTAAACTGGAACTGAACTAAACTAGAACTGAACTAAACTAGAACTAAACTAGAACTGAACTAGAACTAAACTAGAACTGAACTAGAACTGAACTAGAACTGAACTAGAACTGAACTAGAACTGAAGTAGAACTGAACTAGAACTGAACTAGAACTGAACTAGAACTGAACTAGAACTGAACTAGAACTGAACTAGAACTGAACTAGAACTGAACTAGAACTAAACTAGAACTAAACTAGAACTAAACTAGAACTGAACTAGAACTGAACTAGAAATGAACTAGAACTGAACTAGAACTGAACTAGAACTGAACTAGAACTGAACTAGAACTGAACTAGAACTGAACTAGAACTGAACTAGAACTGAACTAGAACTGATCTAGAACTGAACTAGAACTGAACTAGAACTGAACTAGAACTGAACTAGAACTGAACTAGAACTGAACTAGAACTGAACTAAAACTGAACTAAACTAGAACTAAACTAGAACTAAACTAGAACTAAACTAGAACTAAACTAGAACTAAACTAGAACTGAACTAGAACTGAACTAGAAATGAACTAGAACTGAACTAGAACTGAACTAGAACTGAACTAGAACTGAATTAGAACTGAACTAGAACTGAACTAGAACTGAACTAGAACTGAACTAGAACTTAACTGAACTAGAACTTAACTGAACTAGAACTTAACTGAACTAGAACTTAACTGAACTAGAACTTAACTGAACTAGAACTTAACTGAACTAGACTTAACTGAACTAGAACTGAACTAGAACTGAACTAGAACTGAACTAGAACTGAACTAGAACTGAACTAGAACTGAACTAGAACTGAACTAGAACTGAACTAGAACTGAACTAGAACTGAACTAGAACTGAACTAGAACTGAACTAGAACTGAACTAGAACTGAACTAGAACTGAACTAGAACTGAACTAGAACTGAACTAGAACTGAACTAGAACTGAACTAGAACTGAACTAGAACTGAACTAGAACTGAACTAGAACTGAACTAGAACTGAACTAGAACTGAACTAGAACTGAACTAGAACTGAACTAGAACTGAACTAGAACTGAACTAGAACTGAACTAGAACTGAACTAGAACTGAACTAGAACTGAACTAGAACTGAACTAGAACTGAACTAGAACTGAACTAGAACTGAACTAGAACTGAACTAGAACTGAACTAGAACTGAACTAGAACTGAACTAGAACTGAACTAGAACTGAACTAGAACTGAACTAGAACTGAACTAGAACTGAACTAGAACTGAACTAGAACTGAACTAGAACTGAACTAGAACTGAACTAGAACTGAACTAGAACTGAACTAGAACTGAACTAGAACTGAACTGAACTGAACTAGAACTGAACTAGAACTGAGCTAGAACTGACTAGACTGAACTGAACTAGAACTGAACTAGAACTGAACTAGAACTGAACTAGAACTGAACTAGAACTGAACTAGAACTGAACTAGAACTGAACTAGAACTGAACTAGAACTGAACTAGAACTGAACTAGAACTGAACTTGAACTGAACTAGAACTGAAAATTAAAAATGTTTAATAAAAATTAAAATTTTACTAAAAATATACATTTTATTAAAAGTTCAAAATTTTTACAAAAAATGTTTATTTTCACAAAAAATTTTAATTTTTAAATTCGATTCGATTATTTCTTTCATATCTTTAAAATTTATTCAGAAATAAACTGTTTAAAATAACAAAATCGATTTCGAACAAGATATACATTTAAAATTTCTCCGCAAATTGTAGGGAATGACAGATTATCTCTTGCAACAACTGCAAAATCAAACTAACTAACGTTCTGCTAAATATATTGCGCAAATACCATGGATGCACAAATGAGCCCTAAATGACAAAAAAAGCTAGAACAGTTCTTGCAACAAATTCAACGAAGCATAAATTTGTTTATTTCTAACAGAATTTGTTATTATTCTTAATGTTTTTATATAAAGAAAAACTTAATTAATGACATCTACTAAAAGATACAAAACGTAGTTAGACAAAAAACAGAAATATTTTTTTATAAAATTGTAATGTTGACGAGTTTGTTTATTTATGAGTTAATAACCTGAAAAATATGTGTCACCCTTCACATAAGAAACTGGTAATTATTTGGCTAAAACCAAAAAAAAAGTAATAATAATAAAAATTACATACAAAATAACATTAAAATATATGATTACATACTACTACTTCTTATTTGTGTACATAAATCTTTCTAAATTTGGTAATTAGCTTTAACTTAAATGTTCTGTAACCGAGATCATAAAATGTTTAAACATTAACTGGAGGAAGATGTTTACAGTTTAGTTTTTACTTAAAAGAAAGAAGTTTAGAGTAATTACTTCGAATTGCATTGTTGTCTATATCATTTTTGATATTTAAACCCTGCATTAGTATTTTAACCTTGTAACAAATACCTGCAGAGTTTTACAAACGATATAATTAATTTTAAATTTAGATAAGGTTTATTAACCTAAAATATATTTTCAATAGATAACGGGGCCCCACCATACATATTGCTTTTTTTTTTTCAAATGCCCTTCTCTTCATTTTGTAATCTAATCTAAATTTCTTTGCTTAATAATTTCATTTAACAATAAGGCCCTTGCATATTAGCCAAATATGGTAAAACGTAAAAATTTTGAATAATATAAATAATAATAAAATATTTAAAACAAATAATTTAAGTTAAACATCAAATTTCTAGAATTTTTATCAGAATACTATTTACATTCAAAATTCAAAGTCCAAATTTTATGTTAAGCATATCAAATATTTAAAATTTACTTAGGTATTTCCATCGATATACCATGTATTTAAAATCGGTAATTTTTATGTACTGTCGATTCTATTTCACTTGAATTCACCAAACTATTAACATTGGTCATAACATATTTTTTTTTCAATCTTAAGCAGATTACATGGTCGAGATTCTAAAATAAGAATGTTATATTTTTTTTTTTCGAAAACCGCGAAGAACTTGAACGCACATAAATATGTAAAATATTATTAAACTAATCATCTGCGGTTAAACTTTAAAAGAACTTGTATAATTAAGTTTAAAAATGCACATTCAATAAAATAAGATGTGATCTTATTAATTAGCACTGAAATATAACTAAACTAAAACTAACTACAACTGAATTAGAACCGAATTAGAACCAAACTAGAACTGAACTAGAATTAAACTAGAACTAATCCAGAACTAAACTCAATTAGAACTGAACTCGAATTGAACTAGAACTGAATTAGAACTAAACTGGAACTGACTAGAACTGAAAACTAGAACTGAACTAGAACTGAACTAGAACTGAACTAGAACTGAACTAGAACTGAACTAGAACTGAACTAGAACTGAACTAGAACTGAACTAGAACTGAACTAGAACTGAACTAGAACTGAACTAGAACTGAACGAACTGAAACTAGAACTGAACTAGAACTGACTGAACAACTGAACTAGAACTGAACTAGAACTGAACTAGAACTGAACTAGAACTGAACTAGAACTGAACTAGAACTGAACTAGAACTGAACTAGAACTGAACTAGAACTGAACTAGAACTGAACTAGAACTGAACTAGAACTGAACTAGAACTGAACTAGAACTGAACTAGAACTGAACTAGAACTGAACTAGAACTGCACTAGAACTGAACTAGAACTGAACTAGAACTGAACTAGAACTGAACTAGAACTGAACTAGAATTGAACTAGAACTGAACTAGAACTGAACTAGAACTGAACTAGAACTGAACTAGAACTGAACTAGAACTGAACTAGAACTGAACTAGAACGAACTAGAACTGAACTGGAACTGAACTAGAACTAGAATTAGAACTGAACTAGAACTGAACTAGAACTGAACTAAACTGAACTAGAAACTGAACTAGAATTGAACTAGAACTGAACTAGAACTGAACTAGAACTGAACTAGAACTGAACTAGAACTGAACTAGAACTGAACTAGAACTGAACTAGAACTGAACTAGAACTGAACTAGAACTGAACTAGAACTGAACTAGAACTGAACTAGAACTGAACTAGAACTGAACTAGAACTGAACTAGAACTGAACTAGAACTGAACTAGAAACTGAACTAGAACTGAACTAGAACTGAAACTAGAACTGAACTAGAACTGAACTAGAACTGAACTAGAACTGAACTAGAACTGAACTAGAACTGAACTAGAACTGAACTAGAACTGAACTAGAACTGCACTAGAACTGAACTAGAACTGAACTAGAACTGAACTAGAACTGAACTAGAACTGAACTAGAATTGAACTAGAACTGAACTAGAACTGAACTAGAACTGAACTAGAACTGAACTAGAACTGAACTAGAACTGAACTAGAACTGAACTAGAACTGAACTAGAACTGAACTAGAACTGAACTAGAACTGAACTAGAACTGAACTAGAACTGAACTAGAACTGAACTAGAACTGAACTAGAACTGAACTAGAAACTGAACTAGAACTGAACTAGAACTGAACTAGAACTGAACTAGAACTGAACTAGAACTGAACTAGAACTGAACTAGAACTGAACTAGAACTGAACTAGAACTGAACTAGAACTGAACTAGAACTGAACTAGAACTGAACTAGAACTGAACTAGAACTGAACTAGAACTGAACTAGAACTGAACTAGAAACTGAACTAGAACTGAACTAGAACTGACTAGAACTGAACTAGAACTGAACTAGAACTGAACTAGAACTGAACTAGAACTGAACTAGAACTGAACTAGAACTGAATTAGAACTAAACTGAACTGAACTAGAACTGAACTAGAACTGAACTAGAACTGAACTAGAACTGAACTAGAACTGAACTAGAACTGAACTAGAACTGAACTAGAACTGAACTAGAAACTGAACTAGAACTGAACTAGAACTGAACTAGAACTGAACTAGAACTGAACTAGAACTGAACTAGAACTGAACTAGAACTGAACTAGAACTGAACTAGAACTGAACTAGAACTGAACTAGAACTGAACTAGAACTGAACTAGAACTGAACTAGAACTGAACTAGAACTGAACTAGAACTGAACTAGAACTGAACTAGAACTGAACTAGAACTGAACTAGAACTGAACTAGAACTGAACTAGAACTGAACTAGAACTGAACTAGAACTGAACTAGAACTGAACTAGAACTGAACTAGAACTGAACTAGAACTGAACTAGAACTGAACTAGAACTGAACTAGAACTGAACTAGAACTGAACTAGAACTGAACTAGAACTGAACTAGAACTGAACTAGAACTGAACTAGAACTGAACTAGAACTGAACTAGAACTGAACTAGAATTGAACTAGAACTGAACTAGAACTGAACTAGAACTGAACTAGAACTGAACTAGAACTGAACTAGAACTGAACTAGAACTGAACTAGAACTGAACTAGAACTGAACTAGAACTGAACTAGAACTGAACTAGAACTGAACTAGAACTGAACTAGAACTGAACTAGAACTGAACTAGAACTGAACTAGAACTGAACTAGAACTGAACTAGAACTGAACTAGAACTGAACTAGAACTGAACTAGAACTGAACTAGAACTGAACTAGAACTGAACTAGAACTGAACTAGAACTGAACTAGAACTGAACTAGAACTGAACTAGAACTGAACTAGAACTGAACTAGAACTGAACTAGAACTGAACTAGAACTGAACTAGAACTGAACTAGAACTGAACTAGAACTGAACTAGAACTGAACTAGAACTGAACTAGAACTGAACTAGAACTGAACTAGAACTGAACTAGAACTGAACTAGAACTGAACTAGAACTGAACTAGAACTGAACTAGAACTGAACTAGAACTGAACTAGAACTGAACTAGAACTGAACTAGAACTGAACTAGAACTGAACTAGAACTGAACTAGAACTGAACTAGAACTGAACTAGAACTGAACTAGAACTGAACTAGAACTGAACTAGAACTGAACTAGAACTGAACTAGAACTGAACTAGAACTGAACTAGAACTGAACTAGAACTGAACTAGAACTGAACTAGAACTGAACTAGAGAACTGAACTAGAACTGAACTAGAACTGAACTAGAACTGAACTAGAACTGAACTAGAACTGAACTAGAACTGAACTAGAACTGAACTAGAACTGAACTAAACTGAACTAGAACTGAACTAGAACTGAACTAGAACTGAACTAGAACTGAACTAGAACTGAACTAGAACTGAACTAGAACTGAACTAGAACTGAACTAGAACTGAACTAGAACTGAACTAGAACTGAACTAGAACTGAACTAGAACTGAACTAGAACTGAACTAGAACTGAACTAGAACTGAACTAGAACTGAACTAGAACTGAACTAGAACTGAACTAGAACTGAACTAGAACTGAACTAGAACTGAACTAGAACTGAACTAGAACTGAACTAGAACTGAACTAGAACTGAACTAGAACTGAACTAGAACTGAACTAGAACTGAACTAGAACTGAACTAGAACTGAACTAGAACTGAACTAGAACTGAACTAGAACTGAACTAGAACTGAACTAGAACTGAACTAGAACTGAACTAGAACTGAACTAGAACTGAACTAGAACTGAACTAGAACTGAACTAGAACTGAACTAGAACTGAACTAGAACTGAACTAGAACTGAACTAGAACTGAACTAGAACTGAACTAGAACTGAACTAGAAACTGAACTAGAACTGAACTAGAACTGAACTAGAACTGAACTAGAACTGAACTAGAACTGAACTAGAACTGAACTAGAACTGAACTAGAACTGAACTAGAACTGAACTAGAACTGAACTAGAACTGAACTAGAACTGAACTAGAACTGAACTAGAACTGAACTAGAACTGAACTAGAACTGAACTAGAACTGAACTAGAACTGAACTAGAACTGAACTAGAACTGAACTAGAACTGAACTAGAACTGAACTAGAACTGAACTAGAACTGAACTAGAACTGAACTAGAAACTGAACTAGAACTGAACTAGAACTGAACTAGAACTGAACTAGAACTGAACTAGAACTGAACTAGAACTGAACTAGAACTGAACTAGAACTGAACTAGAACTGAACTAGAACTGAACTAGAACTGAACTAGAACTGAACTAGAACTGAACTAGAACTGAACTAGAACTGAACTAGAACTGAACTAGAACTGAACTAAACTGAACTAGAACTGAACTAGAACTGAACTAGAACTGAACTAGAACTGAACTAGAACTGAACTAGAACTGAACTAGAACTGAACTAGAACTGAACTAGAACTGAACTAGAACTGAACTAGAACTAGAACTGACTAGAACTGAACTAGAACTGAACTAGAACTGAACTAGAACTGAACTAGAACTGAACTAGAACTGAACTAGAACTGAACTAGAACTGAACTAGAACTGAACTAGAACTGAACTAGAACTGAACTAGAACTGAACTAGAACTGAACTAGAACTGAACTAGAACTGAACTAGAACTGAACTAGAACTGAACTAAAACTGAACTAGAACTGAACTAGAACTGAACTAGAACTGAACTAGAACTGAACTAGAACTGAACTAGAACTGAACTAGAACTGAACTAGAACTGAACTAGAACTAGAACTGAACTAGAACTAGAACTGAACTAGAACTGAAATAGAACTGAACTAGAACTGAACTAGAACTGAACTAGAACTGAACTAGAACTGAACTAGAACTGAACTAGAACTGAACTAGAACTGAACTAGAACTGAACTAGAACTGAACTAGAACTGAACTAGAACTGAACTAGTACTGAACTAGAACTGAACTAGGACTGAACTAGAACTGAACTAGAACTGAACTAGAACTGAACTAGAACTGAACTAGAACTGAACTAGAACTGAACTAGAACTGAACTAGAACTGAACTAGAACTGAACTAGAACTGAACTAGAACTGAATTAGAACTGAACTAGAACTGAACTAGAACTGAACTAGAACTGAACTAGAACTGAACTAGAACTGAACTAGAACTGAACTAGAACTGAACTAGAAACTGAACTAGAACTGAACTAGAACTGAACTAGAACTGAACTAGAACTGAACTAGAACTGAACTAGAACTGAACTAGAACTGAACTAGAACTGAACTAGGACTGAAATTGGACTCAACGATACAATATTCTATAGATTTGTAAAATATGGAATGAAATTTTATTTATTTAAAACTTAATTCAAATTAACATAAAATTTATATTTCCGTACAAGTTTCATGTCATGATCTAAATTTCTATAGAAATTAATATATCCGATACAGATTTATATAAAAATCTAACCATCATAATTATACATATATTGAAAAAAATATATATAATTTCATGTTTTCAACTTCAAGAGCAGAATCAGTCATTGTCGAGCAATCGTAAAGGACGGACAAAAATATTTCATTTATTTAAATTTGTTTTTATTAACACAAACTCTGTACTTTATTTTTATTTCATTAATGAATTAATTCTATAATAAATATTATTTTCTATATTCCAGTACCGCGTCGTTTATCACCTTCTCCAGCTGTTAATACGGATGAACCTAAAACACCAAATAATCCTCCTCCAGATGATGAAATCGGTAAGTTTTATAAAACACTTTTCTGCTTTGAATAAAATTTTAAATTGTTTTGTTTTCTACTAAAATCTTAATAATTTTACATTTTTGAAATTTTTCAAAAATTAAATATTTAATTTTTTTTCATGGACGCAATGTGTTTTTATTTTAAGTTTTTTTTTCTGCTCATTGAATGCAATTTTTGTTGTTGTCGTTGTTGTTTGTTTGTTTTGCAAATTTGTTATAATAATTATTTTTTCGTTAATATAACTTATATATATTTTTTTAAATAACAATAATATAAACTACTACTAATATTAAATAAAAATTATAATTAAATAACATAATTGTTACCTTCAGCTAAATGAATACCGAACAAAATGTTAAAATATTAGGAAAATTTTATAATTTTTTTTTTTATTGGCCTATAATTGTTATTTTATTAAACGCGTTAATTTCTAAATTATATAGTGAATTATTATAAAAACTAAATACAAATACCAGACGTACGATTGTTACGTCTTTTTTATAAAAAATTGTGGTAATATTTTATACATTTATTATTACATTTATATTTCATTACATTCTTTTTAATTTTTCTTTTATTTCATTTTTAATTTCATTATTTTATAATTTGTTATTGTTGTTTATTTCATAATTAACTCTTGGAATGCATTTTGTTTTTTTATTATATTATTATTGTTTTCTTGATTTTTTTTTCTTAAAAAAATTATAAATAATATATTTATGTTGCGCATGCGCTTTTTGTTGTTTTAATTTTATGCATTTTTTACTTTTGTTTTTTTTCATGGCTTGTCCGTTAAAAAAAAAACAATATTTTCCATAAATGTATGGATGATTATGGTGATTATGATATGATTATGATTTAACTTTGTTACCCGTGAAATTACAATTTTTCGAATTTATTACATAAATGGGGAAATATACAAACATAAATTAATTGTTTGTTATTATTCTTTAAACACTACTTTTATTCAAAACGTTTGCATGTGGGAATTGTTTAAATAAATTGATTTTTTTAATAAAATCAAATTTAATCAAACTAATTACATAAAATGTGGGAAAAATTAACACATGAGGGTTAAGTTTATTAAAAATCCATCTACTATTATTCAAATATAATAAAAAGGTTGCACTTTTGTAATTGATCAGCTATATTAAATATTATTTAATCCAATTTTTGCCCAGTATGTATTTTTTGTTCATTTATGATGATTAAGTGAACTATTAGAGTAAAACTCTATTAGAATCGGTCATAGTACTATTTCTTAGCAAATTGAATTATAAATAAAATTAAAACGTCACTTATTATGTATAAAATTTAGATTATTGTGGTAATTGATTGCAGAACCAGAACAGAACTAGAACAGAACTAGAACAGAACTAGAACAGAACTAGAACAGAACTAGAACAGAACTAGAACAGAACTAGAACAGAACTAGAACAGAACTAGAACAGAACTAGAACAGAACTAGAACAGAACTAGAACAGAACTAGAACAGAACTAGAACAGAACTAGAACAGAACTAGAACAGAACTAGAACAGAACTAGAACAGAACTAGAACAGAACTAGAACAGAACTAGAACAGAACTAGAACAGAACTAGAACAGAACTAGAACAGAACTGGAACAGAACTAGAACAGAACTAGAACAGAACTAGAACAGAACTAGAACAGAACTAGAACAGAACTAGAACAGAACTAGAACAGAACTAGAACAGAACTAGAACAGAACTAGAACAGAACTAGAACAGAACTAGAACAGAACTAGAACAGAACTAGAACAGAACTAGAACAGAACTAGAACAGAACTAGAACAGAACTAGAACAGAACTAAACAGAACTAGAACAGAACTAGAACAGAACTAGAAACAGAACTAGAAACAGAACTAGAACAGAACTAGAACAGAACTAGAACAGAACTAGAACAGAACTAGAACAGAACTAGAACAGAACTAGAACAGAACTAGAACAGAACTAGAACAGAACTAGAACAGAACTAGAACAGAACTAGAACAGAACTAGAACAGAACTAGAACAGAACTAGAACAGAAACTAGAACAGAACTAGAACAGAACTAGAACAGAACTAGAACAGAACTAGAACAGAACTAGAACAGAACTAGAACAGAACTAGAACAGAACTAGAAACAGAACTAGAACAGAACTAGAACAGAACTAGACAGAACTAGAACAGAACTAGAACAGAACTAGACAGAACTAGAACAGAACTAGAACAGAACTAGAACAGAACTAGAACAGGAACTTGAACAGAACTAGAACGACTAGAACAGAACTAGAAACAGAACTAGAACAGAACTTAGACAGAACTAGAACGACTAGAACAGAACTAGAACAGAATAGAACAGAACTAGAACAGAACTAAGCACAAGAACTAGAACAGAACTAGAACAGAACTAGAAACAGAACTAGAACAGAACTAGAACAGAACTAGAACAGAACTAGAACAGAACTAGAACAGAACTAGAACTGAATAGAACAGAACTAGAACAGAACTAGAACAGAAACTAGAACAGAACTAGAACAGAACTAGATCAGACTAGAACAGAACAGAACAGAACTAGAACAGAACAGAAACTAGAACAGAACTAGAACAGAACTAGAACAGATAGAACAGAACTAGAACAGAACTAGAATAGAACTAGAACAAACTAGAACTGAACTAGAACTGAACTAGAACTGAACTAGAACTGAACTAGAACTGAACTAGAACTGAACTAGAACTGAACTAGAACTGAACTAGAACAGAACTAGAACAGAACTAGAACAGAACTAGAAAAGAACTAGAACAGAACTAGAACAGAACTACAACAGAACTAGAACAGAACTAGAACAGAACTAGAACAGAACTTGAACTTGAGCTGAACTTGAGCTGAACTTGAGCTGAACTTGAGCTGAACTAGAACTGAACTAGAACTGAAGTAGAACTGAACTAGAACTGAACTAGAACTGAACTAGAACTGAACTAGAACTGAACTAGAACTGAACTAGAACTGAACTAGAACTGAACTAGAACTGAACTAGAACTGAACTAGAACTAGAATTAGAACTGATCTAGAACTGAACTAGAACTGAACTAGAATGAACTAGAACTGAACTAGAACTGAACTAGAACTGACTAGAACTGAACTAGAACTGAACTAGAACTGAACTAGAACTGAAACTAGACTGAACTAGAACTGAACTAGAACTGAACTAGAACTGAACTAGAACTGAACTAGAACTGAAACTAGAACTGAACTAGAACTGAACTAGAACTGAACTAGAACTGAACTAGAACTGAACTAGAACTGAACTAGAACTGAACTAGAACGGAACTAGAACGAACTCGAACTGAACTAGAACTGAACTAGAACTGAACTAGAACTGAACTAGAACTGAAACTAGAACTGAACTAGAACTGAACTAGAACTGAACTAGAACTGAATCGAACTGAACTAGAACTGAACTAGAACTGATAGAACTGAAAGACCTGAACTAGAACTGAACTAGAACTGAACTAGAACTGAACTAGACTGAACTAGAAACTGAACTAGAACTGAACTAGAACTGAACTAGAACTGAACTAGAACTGAACTAGAACTGAACTAGAACTGAACTAGAACTGAACTAGAACTGAACTAGAACTGAACTAGAACTGAACTAGAACTGAACTAGAAACTGAACTAGAACTGAACTAGAACTGAACTAGAACTGAACTAGACTGAACTAGAACTGAACTAGAACTGAACTAGAACTGAACTAGAACTGAACTAGAACTGAACTAGAACTGAACTAGAACTGAAACTAGAACTGAACTAGAACTGAACTAGAACTGAACTAGAACTGAACTAGAATGAACTAGAACTGAACTAGAACTGAACTAGAACTGAACTAGAACTGAACTAGAACTGAACTAGACTGAACTAGAACTGAACTAGAACTGAACTAGAACTGAACTAGAACTGAACTAGAACTGAACTAGAACGAACTAGAACTGAACTAGAACTGAACTAGAACTGAACTAGAACTGAACTAGAACTGAACTAGAAACTGAACTAGAACTGAACTAGAACTGAACTAGAACTGAACTAGAACTGAACTAGAACTGAACTAGAACTGAACTAGAACTGAACTAGAACTGAACTAGAACTAGAACTGAACTAGACTGAACTAGAATTGAACTGGAACTGAACTAGAACTGAACTAGAACTGAATACTAGAACTGAACTAGAACTGAACTAGAACTGAACTAGAACTGAACTAGAACTGAACTAGAACTGAACTAGAACTGAACTAGAACTGAACTAGAACTGAACTAGAACTGAACTAGAACTGAACTAGAACTGAACTAGAACTGAACTAGAACTGAACTAGAACTGAACTAGAACTGAACTAGAACTGAACTAGAACTGAACTAGAACTGAACTAGACTGAACTAGAACTGAACTAGAACTGAACTAGAACTGAACTAGAACTGAACTAGAACTGAACTAGAATTGAACTGGAATTGAACTGGAACTGAACTAGAACTGAACTAGAACTAAACTAGAACTGAACTAGAACTGAACTAGAACTGAACTAACACTGAACTAGAATTATACTATTATCCAGATATGATCAGTATCATTAAAAAAGAAAATTTTAAGTGCTATTTGATAATTAAATGTTCAGTAGTTATTTAACAATTAAACCACTTATGAAAAAATGCCGCCTGCAATAAGATTTTTATCATTTATATATATTTTGTTAAAAAAAAAAAAAAAACAAAAAATAAATGCTTAAAAGTTATCACCACAGAAGCGAAACAAAACAAACTAAATCTCAAGAATAAAAAAAATCATATAAACAAAAAACAATTCAAAATCAAGAACAAATTATATTATTTCCTTGTGCAACGATAAAAACGAATTCCACAGCATTGTAAATAGCAAGTGCAACATATAATAAAGAAACCAAATCCCAAGATTATTTGTAATTTGAAAGTCAAACAAGAAAGATTTAAGAAAGTCAAGTTTTATTAGGAAGAAATTTAAAAAATATATATATAAAGCAATACAAACAAACAACAAAAGTAATTCAAGAAAAAAATTGTGAAACTATTAAAATGAAAACACGTAAGTCTAAATATTTAAATTTAGACAAAAAATAAGTTTTTAATAAAACGCTGTTATTTTTCTTTACCCCCTCCCCCCCTATGATGATATTTTCTAGAACCCTCTTCTTTGCCAGTATCGGAACGTTTGAGATTTTTCAGCAGTTTAAGTGAAGCTGGTAAACGTAGCTCCTGTTCTTTTACACGAAGTCCACCATTTAATTCCATAGAACGTAGTTCAAGCATTGGTTCCTATCACTACTACATGGCGACCACACCACGCAGCAGTACAAGTCTAAGCAGTGCCAGCGTTACACCAACACCCATGGAGTGTCCTCTGCCTATTTTCATTGAATCACCCACGATATTGAGAAAGGATAGTTCGGCTTCTAGAGAGGCAAATGAGCCTGTTGTGCCAGCTGCAGAGCCGCCACATGATTTAACCGATTCACGTTTTGCCATTAAAGCCGATATAGTGAAAACTTCACCATTTTTACAGGTTAACAAACAGGCTTTACCCATACCGGCACATGTGGCAGAAACAGAAACCACGCCTACTTCTACCTTAACGCCCACTATGAAACGTATTAAACTGAAGACTATTGGCAAGCTAATGTTACCCTCAACCTTTCTTAATAATGATCGTAATAATAACAATTCCAAAGAGTCTTCTTCCAATAGGGAATCTTCTTCGGCCACCGATAGCAATGGTGAAAATGAAAATTCTGGTCCACCGAAAAAGATCGGTAAAATAAAGTCTCCCTTTATAGAGAACTGCAATCAGAAGCAACAGAAACAAATGCAAATCAATACCAAGTGTATGAAGTTCGACTACAATAATAAAACACAAAACTCTTTGACGGCTTTAACTTCCCTGGAAAATAGTGCAGATCATCATAATATGGATATATCCTCGAACTCCAATGGCATTAGTAATGGCAATGGTTTGAATCAAAGAAAATATCAGAATTCTTCACTGCAAATAAATGGTCATCATCACAATGAAGATTTTAGCACCGATTCGGGTAAAGAGAATGTAGATACATCTCTGCAAGAACAAACTACTCCAGTGGTGGAAATGCGTCGCAAATTCACACGCAAAGCCAATACATCACAATCTTTTAATACCAGCAATGGAAGTGGCATATCACGTCAACTAACCCCCAGATCAGCTTCACTAAATGGACCACATTCTTCACCCCAGGTGGATGATAAATATGCAAAATATTTTGGTGTGGCAACGTCGTCAACGAAATCTACTAAAAGCAACCAACAACAAGCACCACCATTACCCAAACAACCGCCTCCCTCGTCACCAGCGCAACAGGACCAATTTGGCCAACAATTGGAAAAAACACCCCAGCCCCAAGTCATGGCCATTAATCGTAATGTACGCCTGTGGCATTCCTCCGGCAGAGGCGTTAAGCGCATGTCTTCCGTTATAAATGAATTGAAAAAATTCGAAGATATTGTAGTAACCGATCGTGAGCTAAAGCTGGCTTCAAAAGAATTCGATAATCTGCTGCACAATGATACCCTACTGAAACATTCCTCCAAAGAATTGGATCGTATTTTTTCGAGCATAGTGTGATCAAGATGATTTATTATCATGAATTATAAATGGATGTGGTTCTGTTATCCGAAGTGATGTATAATTTAAAATTTTGCATTTTTTTATCTTTTAAGTCACATTTCTTTTTAAATGTCTTCTTAAATGTTTTACAGTCGAAAATTGTTTTCAGTTTAACTCGTTTTTTTTTTAAGTACGAATAACTTTTATTTTAGTTTTCTTTCTGTGTAATTTTTATGTTTTTCTTTTTATCAAAAAAAGCTCACCAGTGTATTTATTGTTTGCTTGCCTTATTTTCTTATAAATTATTTTATTGTTTTATTATTTCGAAAAAAAATTTTTGCAAAAAATCCAAAAATTTATGCGTAATTTTTTGGGCAAAAGGAACCAACTTTAGGTCTGAATAAATAGGAAGTGAGAAGACTTAAGTTTGTATGTTAAAACTGAAACAATTTCAAATTATTTACAACAACTTTATCTCAGTTACCTGTTCTTAATATGGTTTAAGAAAAGCTGTTCTCTTTTGACACTGGAGTGTCAAACAACGAGGACTTTTTGAAAAATTTTCTTGCAAAATCTTTTTTCAAAAATTTTTATTGAAATTGTATTTTATTGACTTTTTATTAGTTTTGTTTTTCTTTATATTTTTCTTATTTTTCCAAATTTATCTAAAGCTTTTCTTTTAATTAAGAAAACGAATTTAGTTTAAAACCTTTTTATAATTTTAAATTTTCTAAAAAAATATTGTGTTAAAATAGCATTACGAAATAGCAATTTGTTTGGTGAAAATGTTTAACTTAATTAGAACTTTTTAGAAGAGCTTTAAAGTTTGAATATAAAAGTTGTAAAATCTAGCTTTAATGAAAGTAAAACTTGTTGTTAAAACTTTAGATTTAAGATTTTTAGCTTCAAGTTGTTGGATCTAAAGCTTTTTATCAAGTGATAAAAGCAAAAGCTTTGTGAAAAATAGGAAAGATAAAGCTTAAAAGCTCTAGTATTTAAATTAAACTTTTAGTAGAGCTTTAAAGTTTCAATATAAAAGTTGTTTCGATCTAAAGTTTTTCATTAAACTTACAAAGTTTTCAGGATCTAATGCTTTTGAGTTCCTTGATGCTTTTAAGTTCCTATAAAAGTTCAGCTTAAATGAGAGATTTATGAAGTAGTAGAACCTAATACGTGAATGCTCTGTTAAATTACATTCAACTTTTAGTTGAGCTTCATAGTTTCAATATAAAAATTATGCAATCTAAAACTTTTCATTAAATTTACAAAGTTTTAAAGGTTTAATACAAAAGCTGTTGCTTTAAAACTCTGATGATAGCAAAACTGTTAAGCTTAAAAAAAGAGCTTTAAAAAGCAATAGAATTTAATGTTTTTTTATGAAAGAAAGCACTCAAACGCTTTGGTATTTAAATTAAAAGGTTTAAACTTTTAATTGAACTTAAAGCTTTAAAAGTCTTACAAAGAGAGATGCTTTAAAGCTCCGCTGAAAACTTTTTAATGTGCTTGAACGTTGATATGACAGATAATACCTAAAAGCTTTGGTATTTAAGTTAGATTAAACTTTTAATAGAGCTTTAACGTTTAAATATAAAAATTGTTATATCCACAGCTTTTTTCATTAAACTAACAAAGTTTTAAAGGTCTTTTACAAAGGGTATTGCTTTAAAGCTCTGTTGAAAACAAAACTTGTTATTAAACTTGAATGAAAGCTTTGAAATGACGGATAATATTTAAAAGTTCTTTTATTTAAATTATATTAAACATTAAAGTCTCAATATATATATTGGTTTTCTTAGTTAAAGCATTAAGATTAAAAGCTGTTTAACAAAATCTATATAACAAACTTTTTGTTAAACTTAAATGAAAACTTTAAAAGCTTTTAGAATTAAATATTATATTCAACTTTCAGTTTAGCTTTAAAGTTTTAATATAAACAACTAAAAGCTCTTAGAATTACATTTTATATGGAACTTTTAGTTTAACTTTAATGATTCAATATAAAATCTCTACGATCTAAAGCTTTTCTAATTAAACTCTTTAAGTTGGGTTTGACTTAAAGAAAAGCTTTCTAGGTATTACACCCTAAAGCTTGGACATAAAAGTTACCACTTAAAAGCTCTAATATATTAGACATTATCACCCGATTATTGTTTTCAATTATTCTATGAAACACAATTATTTTTGTGAAAAATATTTTTTTAGTTTGCAATGATTTTCTCTAAAATTTTATTTTTCCAAATTTTTTATTATTTTTTTTTTTTTTATTTTATATTATTTTAAAACAAAACTTTTCAAAAAGATTTTAAAAGGCATTTTATTTTAAAGCAAAGAAGACAAAAGCCTAAAGCCTTTTCTTAACATTCCTTAACTGCAGTTAGATTTCGTTGTTATGAAATCGTTCTATATAACTTTTTTTTTAAACAAATGACTTAAATGATTATTTGTTAAAAACAGAATACGTAAGATAAATATTTAATTATTTGTTTTTGTTTATAACTTTAATTAAATTTAATTTAAATAAGTTGTGTTATTAATGTATCAGGTGCTGTTTAAATAATTTTATGATAAAAAAACCCCATAAGCAATTTATATAAATTTAGAAAAAAAAAAAACAAAATTATTAAATCCATTTTATAAAAAAAACGGTGATTTTAAAACTAAAGAAATCGAATATTGGGGTTTTAGTTCTAGTTATTTTGGAACTCCGGGTATGAAGCTAAGCTGCTGTAGTTGACACTTTAATTTTAACAGAAACCTTATAAAATGGATTTATTTAAACTTTTAAATTTAGCTAGAAAATATCGAAATAAAATCATTAAATTAAAACCCCTAAAACATGCCAAAACCCTAAACAAATTTTAAATTCTAAAAATAAAGGGTCTAAAAAACATATACGTTTTATTAAAAAAAAAAAACATAAAATTAATTATAAAACAATTTAAACTTAACTAATTTTAAGAATAACAAAGAATGCTGAACAGAAACTACGAAAAATTTATATTAAAAAATAAATAAACGAATATAAAAAAAACGATCTACAAATATAAATAAAACGATTATAACAAACAAATAAAAAAATTATAAAAAAAAAACAAACTAAATATTTAAATAAATTAAAGATTTTATTAAAACCCTTAAAAAACCCCCAACCACATCTTGCTTTAAATAATTTCTTTAAAATTATTTTTTTTATTATTAAAACTACCTAATTACTTAAAACCTGTTGAATTTTTTTAAAAATATTTTAATTTTTCTTTTTTTATAAATGTACATTTTTTTGTAATTATTAATTATTTTACAAAAATCCAAGAAAAAGCTCTCTTGTTTATTATTAATATTAATAAATATTTTATTTATTATTAATCTTTATATAAAAGCAAAAAATAAATATTGTTTTTATTAAAAAAAAAGTTAAAAACATATATATATAAATTTAAATGTTGCCCACGTGCTTAATTTTTATTCCTTAATTTTACAAACAATAAACAACAACAGTATAAATTTAGTTATTGAATAAAAGAAACTTATTATTGTGTTATTAATAAATTATATTTAAAATATATATTATACATACATATACATTAAACATATTTAAAATAAAAATTTTTTGCGAAAAATATTAAAAAAAAATTTAATTAAAAAAGAGTTTTACTTTAATTCTAAAAAAATTTAAATTACAAACTAAACTAAATTTTAGTTTTTCTCTGTTTAAATTTTTTTTTTAATTTTTTTTTTTTAATTTCTCTCTGTTCAAATTCTGTTTATCTTATAATCGAATTTCAATCATTTTTGTTGTTTCTAAAAGTAAGCTTTAAAAGCTCTGTAATAAAATTGAGATTTATATTGTGGAAAACTTCAAATTTGTTTAAAAAGTTTTAGTTAAGCTTTAAAGTTACAATATAAAAGTTGTTTAATCTAGAGCTTTTTTAATCAAACTTACTTAACGTTAAAGCTCAAATTAAAATGTTCATCGTTGAGCTTAAAAACCAATTAAAAAGTGTTTAAAATACTTTAAAGCCATATTATGAAAGCAAAAACTTAAAAGCTTTAGAATTTAATTAAAAAAGCTTATGTTTATGACGATCCTAAAAGGCCCAATATAAAAGATAAAACATCTGTAATAGATTGAGATTTATATTGTAAAACTATTCAAATTTGTTTAAAAACTTCTAGTTGAGCTTTAAAATTACAGTATAAAAGTTATAAGATCTAAAGCTTTTATAATCAAACATACTAATCTTAAAAGCTTTCATAATAAATTTTCATTCTTTATATTTCTTTTTAAAACATACATTTTTATTGAGCTTAAAAAGGAACTTTAAAAGTATAACACTTTAAAGATAAATCTTAAAAGCTCTAGTATTCAAATTAAATCTAAAGTTTAGTTGAGCTTTAAACATTCATTATTACATAGTAAGATCTAGAATAATTTTAATTAAAAGTATTAAAATTAGAAACTGTTATAAAAAATAAGCTCAATCTTTGATTATAGCTTAAGTTGTTGTTAATTCTAAAAGTTAGCTTTAAAGGACCCAATATGAAAGATAAAACTTCTGTAATTGAAATTTATATTGTAAAAATATTCAAATTTATTTAAAAACTTCTAGTTGAGCTTTAAAATTACAGTATAAAAGTTATAAGATCTAAAGCTTTTATAATCTAATCTAATCTTAAAAGCTTTCATAATAAATTTTCTTTCGTTATATTTCTTATTAAAACATACATTTTTATTGAGCTTAAAAACGAACTTTAAAAGTAAAACATTTTAAAGATAAAACTTAAAAGCTCTAGTATTCAAATTAAATCTAAAGTTTAGTTGAGCTTTAAACATTCATTATTACATAGTGAGATCTCAAATAATTTTAAATAAAAGTTACTGTTATAAAAAAAACTCAATCTTTGATTAAAGCTTTAGTTTTTCTTAATCCTAAAAGTAAACTTAAAAAGCTTCAGATTTATTTTATAAAAATATTAAATTTTTCTTTTTAACTTTTAGTTGAGCTTTAAATTTCAGTATAAAAATTATAAGATCTAGAGCTTTTATTATCAAACTTACTAAACTTAAAAGTTTTCATAATAAATCTTTATATTTCTTATTAAAAACATAGCTTTTGATTGAGCTTAAAAGTGAATTTACGGTACTTTAAAGCCATGATATAAAATATAAAGTTTAAAAGCTTTAGTGTTTAAATTATAACAAAAGTTTAGGTGGACTTTCAAGTTTCATTATTAAAGTCCATATTTTAATTAAAAGTATTAAGATGAAAAGCTGTGATAAAAAATATATTCAAATCGAACTTTTTATTTTGCTTAAATAACTTTAAAGTTTCGATGTGAAAGTTAAAACTGACATTTTTATTATAAAACATTTCAAATTTGTTTAAGCTTTCACTTAAACTGTAAAGTTTTAATATATAAGTTATAAAATCTACAGCTTTTTTTAATTAAACTTACAAAAATTCAAAGCTCTGATACAAAAATTATTATGTTCAACATTTTGTTAAGCTTTGGATGGAATTCCTTGGATTGGATTAAATTCCTTGTTTGATGATTATTTTCAACATTTTGTTAAGCTTTAAAGCTTCGTTATTTAAATTGGATTAAATTCCTAGTTTGTTTTGATCTCAATGCCGTATAGTTGAGCTATACACCCGTATTCTGCATTTCGATTACGTTTCCATACTCAGTTAGGCTACGATCGAAAAATAGAATACGAAAGTTGCTAAACGGAGAAAATTTAGATTCGAATTGAAATACAGAATAGGGGTGATAGTTCAGTCTAACCTTAGTTGCAATCGTTGACCTAGTGATACTCCGATCGTAGATCATTATGTACAAGAAATTGGGCAGATCACTTAAAAGTCAAAGTTATAGTTATGCGGCCTTATCTTAGAACATCACTCAGAATAACTTATAGAAGAAATAGTAGAAGATTTTGCAGTCCCATTTAAACAGAAACTGTTGACCATTACAGTCACAGACTATATCGTTGATCGTTATACAATCTAATTGCCATTATAGTCTTTCATATAGTTCATATTTAGCTGCAATTGTAAATCTGTTTTAAAGTAATCATAATCCATTTTTAAGCAGAAAACGGTAATCTTTACAGTCACTAGTTAAGCTGTAATCGTAGCAGGGGTTCTGCATCTTAAACATCAATTCAAATACATTTATTTTTTAACGCTTTAATATTTTTTATTATTTTTTCTTCAAGCACATTAAAGAATTGGCATGTTCAGTTTGAAATTACAAAACACATATAATCTGGACTCTAAAGCTTTTATAAAACATAACTAATCTACTAATCTATAAAAAACAATTGCATCTTTTCTTTTAATTCCTACTAAATAAAGTTGAGCATGAGGATATTTAAATTAAACTTAACCCAAAAAAGGTAAATATTGCCAATTAACCATAAAATAACTTATAATATTTAATAAAAACAACTACTAATTATTATACTCTCTTTTCTTTCCCTCTCTAGCGTCATCATCTAGCAAACAAAATCTCAATCCAAACGAAGCGCCACGTCTAGGTGGCATTTTAAAATCTAAATCGGGTTGTGTTGGTTTTATGCCCATGGATTTAAGTAATGAATTGAAAAATCGTCTTAAAAGTTCTAAACATGCTACCGTTTCGAATCTAAGTAAATCGGCTACTACGACCAATGCTTCTTCCTCCTCGTCGTCGGCACAACACGATGATGCAGTTAGTTTAGTGCGTAATCTCACGAATTTAGGTAAACCCCCGGCACAGCTAAGGGATCCTTTAAAAATGGAACCCGATATTGCCTCTGCCTCAGAGGGTGAAAGTTCGGGTGGTCGTGAAATATCGGAGATTATAAAAAATAGTGCTGTAGCACGTAGGCGTAAATTTAACGAAGGGTAAGTTTTAAAAAACCCCATAAAAAGGAGTTTAATTAGGAAAAGAAAACAAACAAAAAAACACGAAAAACTTAGTTATGTAAAGCTAATAATAAACTAATATTAAAAAAAAAACTATTAATAAATGTATTTTGATATTAATGTATGTTGTTTTTTTAATTTTCTGTTTGAATTTAATTAATTAATTTTAATATTTAACATAATAAAGAATGTGTGATTTGTATAGATAGTTAGTACTAACAATGATGTTCTAAATTTTGTATGTAATATTATTAAGCTTTCTTTAATTTTTTTCTACTTTATACTAATATTAGATTATTAAAAAGCAAATTAAAGTTTTTTTTTCTGGAAATTATTAAATTCGATAAGAAATTGTTACAAAATCACAATTTGTAATTTAAAGAACTTACTTAGTTGTAGGAAAAACTGTAATGTTATTAAAGATTAAATGGGAGAATTCTAACAGAGTTTAAAAAAATTTTTAAATTGTGCTTTTGTAAAGTTTGACAACTTTAATCTTTAGCAACGTTATTTGTTATTCAAAAACTAACATATTTGCAACCTAGAATTAACACAAAAAAAAGAACGCATACATTTAAAAACTGTAGTTATATGAATGATATTTCAAAAATATTAAATAAAAAGGGTATTCTGTAGAGAGAATAGACTATAGACTTGATTATATACTGTAGACTAGACCATAGACTAGACTATATACTAGATTATAGAAAAGAAGAACTAGACTATAGACTAGACTATAGACTAGACTATAGACTAGACTATAGACTATAGACTAGACTATAGACTAGACTATAGACTAGACTATAGACTAGACTATAGAATAGACTATAGACTAGACTGTAGACTAGACTATAGACTAGACTATAGACTAGACTATAGACTAGACTATAGACTAGACTATAGACTAGACTATAGACTAGATTATAGACTAGACTATAGACTAGACTATAGACTAGACTATAGACTAGATTATAGACTAGACTAGACTAGACTATAGACTAGACTATAGACTAGACTATAGACTAGACTATAGACTAGACTATAGACTAGACTATAGACTAGACTATAGACTAGACTATAGACTAGACTATAGACTAGACTAGACTATAGACTAGACTATAGACTAGACTATAGACTAGACTATAGACTAGACTATAGACTAGACTATAGACTAGACTATAGACTAGACTATAGACTAGACTATAGACTAGACTATAGACTAGTCCATAGAATAGACTGTAGAGTAGACTATAAACTACACCATACAATAGACTATAGACTAGACTAGACTATATACTAGATTATAGAAAAGAAGAACTAGACTATAGACTAAACTATAAAATAGACTATACCTAGACTATAGACTAGACTATAGACTATAGACTAGACTAGACTAGACTAGACTAGACTAGACTATAGACTAGACTATAGACTAGACTATAGACTAGACTATAGACTAGACTATAGACTAGACTATAGACTAGACTATAGACTAGACTATAGACTAGACTATAGACTAGACTATAGACTAGACTATAAACTAGACTATAGACTAGACTATAGACTAGACTATAGACTAGACTATAGACTGGACTATAGACTAGACTATAGACTAGACTATAGACTAGACTATAGACTAGACTATAGACTAGACTATAGACTAGACTATAGACTAGACTATAGACTAGACTATAGACTAGTCCATAGAATAGACTGTAGAGTAGACTATAAACTACACCATACAATAGACTATAGACTAGACTAGACTAGACTATATACTAGATTATAGAAAAGAAGAACTAGACTATAGACTAAACTATAAAATAGACTATACCTAGAATATAGACTAGACTATAGACTAGACTATAGACTAGACTAGACTATAGACTAGACTATAGACTAGACTATAGACTAGACTAGACTATAGACTAGACTATAGACTAGACTATAGACTAGACTATAGACTAGACTATAGACTAGACTATAGACTAGACTATAGACTAGACTATAGACTAGACTATAGACTAGACTATAGACTAGACTATAAACTAGACTATAGACTAGACCATGGACTAGACTATGGACTAGACTATAGACTAGACTATAGACTAGACTAGACTATAGACTAGACTGTAGACTAGACTATAGACTAGACTATAGACTAGACTATAGACTAGACTATAGACTAGACTATAGACTAGACTATAGACTAGACTATAGACTAGACTACAAACTAGACTATAGACTAGACTATAGACTAGACTATAGACTAGACTATAGACTAGACTATAGACTAGACTATAGACTAGACTATAGACTAGACTACAGACTAGACTATAGACTAGACTATAGACTAGACTATAGACTAAACTATAGACTAGACTATAGACTAGACCATGGACTAGACCATGGACTAGACTATGGACTAGACTATAGACTAGACTATAGACTAGACTATGGACTAGACTATAGACTAGACTATAGACTAGACTATAGACTAGACTATAGACTAGACTATAGACTAGACTATAGACTAGACTATAGACTAGACTATAGACTAGACTATAGACTAGACCATGGACTAGACTATAGACTAGACCATGGACTAGACTATAGACTAAACTATAGACTAGACTATAGACTAGACTATAGACTAGACTATAGACTAGACTATAGACTAGACTATAGACTAGACTATAGAGTAGACTATAGACTAGACTATAGACTAGACTATAGACTAGACTATAGACTAGACTATAGACTAGACTATAGACTAGACTATAGACTAGACTATAGACTAGACTATAGACTGGACTATAGACTAGACTATAGACTAGACTATAGACTAGACTATAGACTAGACTATAGACTAGACTATAGACTAGACTATAGACTAGACTATAGACTAGACTATAGACTAGACTATAGACTAGACTATAGACTAGACTATAGACTAGACTATAGACTAGACTATAGACTAGACTATAGACTAGACTATATACTAGACTATAGACTAGACTATAGACTAGACTATAGACTAGACTATAGACTAGACTATAGACTAGACTATAGACTAGACTATAGACTAGACTAGACTATAGACTAGACTATAGACTAGACTAGTCCATAGAATAGACTGTAGAGTAGACTAGACTATATACTAGATTATAGAAAAGAAGAACTAGACTATAAACTAAACTATAAAATAGACTATACCTAGACTATAGACTAGACTATAGACTAGACTATAGACTAGACTAGACTATAGACTAGACTATAGACTAGACTATAGACTAGACTGTAGACTAGACTATAGACTAGACTATAGACTAGACTATAGACTAGACTATAGACTAGACTATAGACTAGACTATAGACTAGACTATAGACTAGACTATAGACTAGACTATAGACTAGACTAGACTAGACTAGACTATAGACTAGACTATAGACTAGACTATAGACTAGACTATAGACTAGACTATAGACTAGACTATAGACTAGACTACAGACTAGACTATAGACTAGACTATAGACTAAACTATAGACTAGACTATAGACTAGACCATGGACTAGACTATGGACTAGACTATAGACTAGACTATAGACTAGACTATGGACTAGACTATAGACTAGACTAGACTATAGACTAGACTAGACTATAGACTAGACTATAGACTAGACTATAGACTAGACTATAGACTAGACCATGGACTAGACTATAGACTAAACTATAGACTAGACTATAGACTAGACTATAGACTAGACTATAGACTAGACTATAGACTAGACTATAGACTAGACTATAGACTAGACTATAGAGTAGACTATAGACTAGACTATAGACTAGACTATAGACTAGACTATAGACTAGACTATAGACTAGACTATAGACTAGACTATAGACTAGACTATAGACTAGACTATAGACTAGACTATAGACTAGACTATAGACTGGACTATAGACTAGACTATAGACTAGACTATAGACTAGACTATAGACTAGACTATAGACTAGACTATAGACTAGACTATAGACTAGACTATAGACTAGACTATAGACTAGACTATAGACTAGACTAGACTATAGACTAGACTAGACAAGATTAGCAAGTATTCTTAATCGAATTTTAAATATCCTCTACTGAATACCGTTATAAACATTTTGTAGTTAGTTTAACCCAAAACAAAAAAAAAACACACTAATTAAGCAACAAAATCAATTGTCATTTTAAAAATGTTATTAAAAAAATAAATAAATAAAATTAAACACATTTTCCTAAGACTGGTCTTGATATACACTTTATTAATTTTAAATGATTTTGTAGTTATTAACAAAAAAGCATTTTAAAATAAAATTGCACATAATTTTAACAAAATAAAAAAACATTTTTTAATTAACCAAAAAAGCACATTAAAATGTTTAAAAAAAACTCAAACAATTAATAAAAAAAAAACTAAAAATAAATGTCTTGTTATTTTGCACAAAACACAAAATAAACAAACACAACAAAAATCGCAAAATTTATTTTTCTTATACAAAAAAACAACCTTAAGCTAATAAAAAAACTATTCCAAATTTTATTTTTTTGAAAAAAATACAAAATGTTGCAAATGAAAACAAACAAAAAACAAAATCAACCTGCAGCTTTTTTTATGCAAAACTGAAAAATCAACCTCCTCCTACAACTGCACAACATTTTTGGCCTTATAAACAAAATCCTTATTATGTGCAACAGCAATTACAACAGCAACAACAATTACAGTCATCACAAAGCCAACAAATCTATAAATAAAATTTTTGTGAAAAAACAAATCGAAACAAAGAAATTACATTTAAGCTTTTTTCTCTTTTTTGTTTTTTAAATCTCATTCTCTACTTAATATTTAAATAAATAACTAATTTATATACTAAAATGATGAAACTATTTTTTTAAAATAAATCATTAACTAAATGTATTTTTTGGTAAATTTATGAA